CTTGTGGTAACATGTACATAACTAGAGTTCCACGATCTCATACCTTCGCCAAATGAGGTTAGCCTTTATGGACTAAGAAATTATAGATTAATTACTGATTGTGCAAATAGGATCCTATATTGCATCAATTATATCTGTAGATCATATTCTACACCAGAAGACAGTCTTATCTTATCAAAGAATGCCATTATAGTATTTCCTCATAAATTATGCAAATGAGGTCCTTATTTGAATAAGTTATGTTTAATTATGTTCACCTTTACATAACTTTCAAATATCCCAAGTATGAAATTCCAGGCAGTTACCACTATGTAATTATAACATTTTCTAATTAATTATGCAAATTAAGTCCTCATTTGCATTATTGATATCTGCCTGTATTTCTGCCGTTCTCAATTATGTATGACACATGCTTGAATAGTCCTATCATGGAATGCAGCTGATTAATAGACTTTCCTCATTAATTATGCAAATTACATTAATATTTGCATAATTGTAATATCATTATGTCAAGCATCACTTCAGCTACCTACATGCCAAAAATCACGACGATCCATCCACCGGTTCTTGAGTTATCAGCCTTTAAACATTTTTCAACTAACGCCCCTGCAGTTCCAGAGCAAGCAGCTAGGGGGCCCAAACGCACGTCACTTCTTCCCCAGCACGAGAGCTACCTACCATGCAAATTTCGTCACCCTAGCATGTCTGGATCATGGGATATCAAAACCGGAAGTTCAGCTGCAGTACCATAACAAGCCGCCAGGGGGCCCAAAATCTAATCAGTTCGAACTCTCATCAAGACCTACCCACCTATCAAATATCAAGATAATCCATCTAAGCTTTCTCGAGTTATGCTGTTGCCAGACACACACACACACACACACGGCCAGGAAAACATAACCTTCTCCAATTCTTGGCGAAGGTAATAACTGATGTGTCAGGACTTACAGGAGTGGAGACATTTGCTCCCAGTGTACAGTAATGCCCGGCAGCACAGGGTCCCTGGGGAGAGGCCAGGCCATAGGCTGTGCAGTACTGACCAGGAGAACAGGGTTCACACTGGGGTTCCTCATATGCACCAGTCGCACTACGGAAAGTTCCCTGGAAGAATACAAAAGGGACACACAGAGTTCAGTTACACTACATCAGATGATACTGTATTTAATTGTGAAGCTTATGACATGGTTTTATTTCATGATAGGAGGGAAAGGGAGGTTTCATGGTGTTTTAAAATCCTTACCGGTGGACATGGTGTGGGTACAGCACTCCTTGGTGGACAATAGGACCCGGGAGGACAGATTAACTGGGCAACCAATCCTGTGCCGTTACAGTAGTAACTCTGCAAGCAGTCATCACAACTGGCCTGGCCAGGGGACTACAGGGGAGACAAGAACAAGTCATAAACATATTAATAAATCAGAGAGGCAAATGTATACAACAAGAAATCAGAGATTTCAAAGCTCTGGGAGAAGGCTCTGGGAGTTTTTGCACGTTTATTGGCACAACCAAAGAGATTGTCTGACATACTTTATCTAGGACAGAAACCTAAATTGCAAGCTGAGAGTTTGATGTGACAAGCCATAAGTGTGTATATGTATGGTCTATCATGGCTCACTAAGAGTGATACATGTATACATGTATTCACAATGAAAAACATGTTCAAAGTTAAAAAATTTTAAGTTATCTTTTTTCTCTAAATTAGATATCGTGTCTCACAAGTCCTTGCTGTTCTGGGCCTCATTAGAGTCAGGGATGCATGATTCAATCAGACTATGTGTAACATATAGTATTGCAAGTTTTGCAAAAGCCCTTAGATTGTGGTAGCCTGACTTACAGTTTGGTATGTGCCAACAGGGCAGGGTTTGGGGTTGTATGCTGCTGCCTCCGTGTAGCTGCCAGCTGGAGTCTCGAGCTGGTTGGGACTGGATGCTCCACCCGTACAGTAGTACCCAGGGTCACATGGTCCTGTAGGCTCTGGGTTGGTGTCTCCAGCACAGTAATATCTGGAAAACACCACATACTGTCAGTTAGGATCTACCAGATGCTACCATTCTGCCATTATCTATTTTTGTTCTAACTAATTCATGAAAATATTTTGTCCAAAACTTTTTTGTACAGCAACTGCAAAACCCTATCAAGTAGACAAGTATTACTAAGTTTATACCATTGTGCCAAAGTCTTCCAATTGAAAATTTCTTGCTGCAGCCATTGAAATAGTATCTGGTGCACAACTTGCAATTTTAAGTATGGATCAAACTAAAAAGAGTTGAAGCAAACCATGATTGCTATTATTTCTTCCACGCTTCATTCAAAATAGGCCTGGTACCAGTCAATACACAAATAAAATCCACTTTAAACCCAGTGTATGTCTCAGTATATGTATGTACAGTACAGTACATTAGAACAGTTAGAATGTGTTCTCACCCAGGATCACACTGGACACAGTCCTCTGGCCCTGCTGCACCTGAGGAGTTACTGTATGTTCCCTGTGGACATGACGTGGGGATGGCCGAGCCTATTGGACAGTACCCACCGGCTGGACACACCCCACCGGTCAGGTCATCTGGTGGAGCCTGTAGACAAAGATTCTCTGTTACTTCATATTCCAAGACTTTAATAGAATGGCAAATATGCATCTTGTATTTCTATTCTCTCACCAGTTTGTGGTTGAACTGTTTCAACCACAATCTTCAAACACTTCCAAGAAAACATGCATTTCAATGTGAAATGAGCAAAAATCTAGTGTCCCTAAACCAAAAAAAATGCAACAACATCAATTCCAATGTCTGAATCTTGTATTTGAATCTTTGGAAGCGGCGCATGCAGTTAGGGCAAAATGCGTTTGAAGTATTCTAAGGAAGCCATGGAAGCCCAGACCGTACAGTCCAGAACACCTTTATCGAAGGTTATCATGGCCCGAGAAAAATATCACCATTGGGAAAGTAACTGCATTTTACAGTACTACATACCGATGAGGAGGCCCTGGACCTGCAGTAGAACCCAGCGTCACACTGTCCGGCCGGCTGGGTCAGGGCCAGCCCGTCACAGTACCATCCTCCAGGACACGCCACGCAGTCTGAACTCACCCGCAGGCCTGTGGAGTTACTGTACGTTCCCAGGGGACATGGCTGGGCAAAGTTACTGCCAGTGGGACAGTAATAACCCTATGGGAAACAATAGGTGTTACCAATGGGCAGCACAAAGGATTTATTTTGACTTATATCTGACTAGTAATATTCAATCTTTAGTGGGTAGCCCCTACCACAATTTGTTGATTTTCAAAGGGCCCCAGAAACAGATAACATAGGAAAAATTGGTACATATTAACATAACAGAAATCAAACCTACATACAGAAATTCACAGAAATGAAATCATAATAAGGATACAGAGATACAACATGATCATATACTGAATAACTTCAAAATTCTGAACCAATCAACAAATCAGTGACAGTGTTGTAGTCTAAAATCATAATAAATGCTCTGTTACCCGTAAATGGAAATCTGATACCAGACCTGTCAATTACACATCAACAAGTAGCTTTCACTTTTTCTTAGACAAAAAAGCTAAATCAACTTGATGGAAATATGGGTCTAGCTTACTTCAGGACAGGTTTTTGGCCAGGCTAGCCCCTCCTCATCACAGTAGTACCCAGAGATACACAGGGTACAGCCCTGGAAGGACTCTCCTGCTGAAGCGTTCAGGTAGAAGCCCTGTGGGCAGGGGTTGGTGTACATCCAACCGGTACCCTCTGGGCAGAAATGTCCACCCGGACAGTCGTCAGCCTGCACGGCAAACATTTACATTGTATAACTGCAAAAACAACAATACCTCCACGCAAGTTAGACTACTGTAAGCAGCCTCTTCCCTTGACCCCATGTCAGGGAATGTCTGTCAGCAGCCAAGTTGATGAAGTGACTTAATTCTACCACCTACCACAGTTACACCATTTCCTCTCCTCTTCATGTACATTGTAGGTTTTACATTGTATGGTTATAACAAGATTCTAATAGACTAAAGTATAATCTTTCAATGTACTGTACCCTTAGCCTGAAGAAACCTATACACAGAGAAAGCTTTGGGATCTGAATACCCAATGATTGCTATGGATAAACATCTCCGACATGACATCAACAATAGAATTCAAGACATTAACCCTACTTCTTTTCTTCTTTCTAAATCTATGTATATTCACAGAGTCATAAAATCCAGAATACTGACAGGAGCAGACAGTCCCCCTGGCCAGCAGTACTTCCCAGCAGGGCAGATCTGACACTCGTCCTCAGTCTGGAGACCAAGTTCATCGCTGTAGGTACCATTGGGACACGGTACAGGGTTGGGATCCTGTGCAGAAATGGTGCAAAAACATTTCAGATAGGATGTAAGCATGATGGCATGTCTAGTTTGAAGGCATTTTTCCACTGCTACATGTACAACATGTGTATAACCTTAGAGTGTTAGCATCTCATCTGATCCTGTCACATCTGTCATAGGTCATTGTACAATTTTGATGTCGTGGAATTTTCAAGCAGGCTGAAACTGGACAAACTGCGTACCATGATATAAGACATGATATAAGACATGATATAACAATGAAGTGCTCCAGAATATGAAAAAGGTGGCTAAGCACAGAATGTAGGTCACAGAATATGCATTATGTACTCACAATGTTTCCCCTGAGACAGTAGTAACCAGTTGGGCAGGGGTCAGTCTGTAGGTCTGGAGGTTTGTCCCGACCGGCCTTGCACCACATCCCAGCTGGACAGATGAGTTCAGCCAGCATGTAGGCCTGACTGGTCGTCTCCGAGTCACACCAGTGGCCCGGGTCACAAGGATTGCACTCCGACCAACCTTCAGCCTGAAAAGTAGAAGTAAATCAAGAAGACAGAGATTCACACATAAGTTTTTGTGAATTTCTTGTTTTATCAATAGTGTATTTCTCTGTTTATGTCTATATTGATATTTGTACTGATATCCTGTCAACAGAAAACCGACAACTTCCTGCTTCTAGGACCCAATGTCCTGTGCCTGACCTTTTCTGGTCTGTAGTGAGGTGAAAACTGCACCCAAGTGCTACATGTAGCATCATTCAAATGATTAAATCAAACACGCAAACACACAATGCAGACACAGGAAAAAGCCAAAATTACGTTTTCCACCTGATATTTTGCCAGATGCCTTTTACGTTTCTATATTTTAACAGGCATAGCTGCTACATAAAGCTGTCAGTATACATATGATTATTATGTTCAATATTTTCAAGTTCAACTGCTTACAGAATAAAAGCCTTTCCCACAGGGCACAGGTTCAACATTGCCAGTTCCGTTGCAGTAGTGGCCGGCTGTACAGTCCACACAGTCTGACAGATCGTCCTGTTCAATCTCCGAGTTGTAGGTTCCAGCAGGACACTCGGTAGGTAAGGATGAAGCCACGGGGCAGTAGGCGCCCTCGGGACAGTCCTCACAGTCTTCCCAGCGGGTGTTCCCCTGGTTGTTGGAGTACGAGCCACCGTGACAGGGGTTCTCTGTTGCTGTAGCCGTGCCGGCTGGGCACCAATGGCCTAACAAACAAAACATCACCATGTCTTCAGTATTACAAACATCATACACTGTGAATAGTTTCATCAGGTTGATAAGTCACTGAGTCAAGAAACTCTTTCTACACTGAGGAAGGTGACAGACGGTCACCAAAACATCGGCTGAATAAAAAGACTTCATTGTGTAGAAAGGGTCTCTTTACTCAAAACATCATAAATTTTCTGCATTTAAATGATAATTCCTATGAAACAATGTAATTATTATCTACCTGTTATGTGCATGTGGTATCTTTCTTACAAGCAGTTGACAATTAAGCCACTTTCTGTACTCAGCATTTTTAACACCAAGTACTGTTCACTGTAATATGAAACAACTTACAGCATATCTAACAACTACTGTTCACTGCACTCTGTAACTACTGACAGTATACCTGACAGTGTAATCTGTAATGATAACCAGATCTAACAGCTTACCTGTAGCACAGAGCCCAGATGGCTCAGTGGCCGCCTGCAGACAGTAGTACCCTCGGGTGCACACATAACACTCGTCTGAGTGCTCCAGGTTGGTCAGGTTACTGTAGGTACCGGCCACACAGGGGAACTGCATGGGGAACTGGGTCCCGGCTGGACAGTAGTGACCTTCTGCACACGGCTCTGGTGCCTTCTGCTGCCCCCCAGTGCCTGTGGGTGGGCATTAAATACATAGTTTTGGGTACAACGTACAGTTATCTAACTCTCTGTTTTCAACATTAAAACACATCAAACTAGTCTTATTTGGATCATGCACTACTCAAATAGTAACTTCTTTAGAAGCCCCAAATGACAAAGTGTCTAAGGAAAAGATTTTATCAAGAAAATGTGTTTGTGCTAAACACCTTGACCTTTAGCACAATTGCCACCAATTCTTTATTGGTTGTAGGATTACGCAGTACTGATGATATTGAGACAAGTTTGATCAAGCTTTCTGTACCTAGAAATTTTATGATAAACATAGTTTGTCATTTTTCTACATATTGAGGACACAGCAGACTGTTGGAAAGTAACCACTGGTATAGAGTAAAATATTTCACCTAAAAGGCAGGCAACACCTGCTGGACAGGTATCACACTGTGCAGCATTGGTCAGGTTACGGTAGTCTGTGTATGTGCCGGCAGGACAAGGGTTAACAACATCGTCTGGGTCGTCTGAGCCGGCAGGACAGAAGTACCTGCAAGTCAGGACAATATTGGACAGTATTGTAAGAGGTACATTGTACAAAACGTGTATATAACTTCCCTGTTTACCAATCATTACCAAATTACAAACATTTGCAATATCCACTCCAAATGGAATGAAACATTAGAGACATAAGAGATTTCAAACATCCAGGAAGTATTTAGGTTTTTATCAATTTATTTGCGTAACCAAAAAGATGACCTGATGTACTACAATAGGCCTAGTACAGAAACTTTGCTGGCTGAGAGTGAGAGGCCAGAAGTGCACAAACATTACTTGTTGTGGTAAACTTCAAGTGGGAACCCCCAGTGTCTTGTGGTTACTGTTACAGTAATTGTGTAGATGTACCTTAATTTAATGTCATTCTGAGGTTACACAATTCCTGCCATTCAAATACAGACAAACAAGCAAATGCAAACACACACATAAACCCGCCGAAAACAATTACACCTCTGTATACTTGGTGGTAATAACTCACCCAGGAGAGCAGTCTGTATCAGGCTGGGTCAGTGCAGGTTGTGTGCATGCTTGTCCAGCAATGCAAGGCTTACAGTCATCTACTTCATTTTGACCGACGTTGGGGTTGTATGTGCCAGCTGCACAGGCCACAGGGTCTGACGTTCCAGGCGGACAGTAGTACCCAGCAGGGCACTCCTGACAGGCTGAGGACACACTGGCACCTGTCTCTGCTGTAAAGGTTCCTCCAGGGCAGGGGGAGAGTAGGTAGTTACCTGTACTCACCGGACAGAAGTGACCTCTCTCACAAGGGATGGGTACTGCGGTACCTGAGGTAAAACAGAAGTAGTGACACATGGAGCCAGACATTAACGGAAGAAGAAGAAGAACATGGGCATCTACAACACAGGACTGAAACTCTACAGGCAAGTACACACGGCACACAATTTTACATTGTTCTTTAATATCATCCATACATATAGGAAGATTTTATATCAGCGAAGGCTAGACATCCAGGTAACACATTACAAAATACAACACCGGATTAATCCTCTAAAACAAATCCTCAGACATTTCAGACATCTGATGCTATCTTTTGTCAGAGATTGTCTTTCATCATTTTGAGTCACTGATGAACGAAATGATGAAGGTCATCTGAAACACCTGACTATTGAGAATTATCTAATATCCAGTTGCTGGATTTTTTAAAATATTTCACAAGGTAGGTTTTGTTGAGATAAAAACTTGGCAGAATCCATACATTAAAAACTTACCTTCAGGACAGTAGTTCCCCTCTGGACAATTATCACAGTTTGCCTGCTCCCTTCCTCCAAGTTCATTCAGGTATGTTCCTGCTAAACAAGGGGTGTTTGTACCACTGGTGGCCCCTTCTGGACAGTAGTGTCCACGAGAACACAAGTACTCATACGTGGGATAGCCAGCTGTACCTTCCAAACAGTAGTACCCTGTGACAGGAAAACAAGAAATTGGTATCTAGACATCTAAGAAATATCTAGACGGCACAACAAAAGAGACGGTCTTTGCAGGCTGAGAGACTGCATGAACATAACATGCATGAACATTGTCAAGAGGTATCTTAAGTAGGTACCACCCAAGTTACTTGCCACAACTATGTACAACCATGACCATAAGAGTATGCAATGCATGTATATTAACAATGCATGGTTACTTCACTAAAACCATTATTTGTAGGCAAGTCTTAGCAAAATCCTACCTTCCGGACAGTTTGCACATCCTTCATCTGAGTTCTTGGCTCCAGTCCTGTTGCCATACGTTCCAGCAGGGCAGGCAAGCTTGTTTAAACCATCCTCACAGTAGTAACCTATGTGTGTAAAGATATACAAACAGCTGAATGTGTACCCATGTCTGCAATGCAGTAGCACTTTTAAGATACTTCAATCTGTGAATGCTCATGTACAGCAGCTTCAAAATAGCCAATTACTCTATTTTAAAACTTTTTTTAAAAAATCCAAATCATTTGCCTACACATGTACATGTATATAGGCAGCATACAGACAGCTGCAGCCAGTGATACATGTATAGTCCTTATCTAAAGGACGGAAAGATGATGACATTACTGTAGCATGTGATATGGTATTTATCTAAAGTCCTGAGGGTACCTTGTGGGCACAGTCCATCTGAAGGTGTAGCAGATGTGCTGCCCTCCACACAGAAGTAGCCTGGGTCGCAGGTCAGGCAGGCTGTTGTGGAGGTGTTACTATACGTGCCTGCCTGACACTCCTCTGGCTGGAGATCCTTCTGTGGGCAGTATGACCCGGCCGGGCAGGGTGTACAGGCTATCTGGGAACCTGAGGCAACAATATCAACATCCTGTCAGCTGCATAACTCCTAAATTCTTACTAAATTCTGTTATCAAAGAGTATAACATCAAAGTTGTCAAATCATTTATATCAATATAAAATGAGTGCACACTACAACAAAACTCTCATTATTTTTCTGACACTTTTTCGAAAAAGTTGTATACTACTGTACAATTGTACCTTTATGTACATAACCCTAACAGATTACCTGGTGATCCACAGTCAAGATGTAGGTGCACAGCTTAAATTTTGGGTGCACAAAAGTATAAAATGTGTCCAGTATTTCGAGCCTTGGTACAGATACATGATTGTATAATTTTAAGCACTGACCAAGACTGTAGTATCCATCTTGACAAGCCGTGCCGGTGGTGTTGGTCAGCGGACATTCCTCTCCAGCTGGGCAGGGGATACAAGCCTGGCAAACAACAACAACAACATCACACCTGGCAACATGCATCAACAGGCTGTCACAATCATCATAGACTTCTGTACAACTTTGCTGTCATAGAATTCTCAAGCAGGCTGTGACATAACCAACTGCCGACAAGGATCTGAGACAGCCTTTTCATAACACTTGCCCAGCTACCCTAGGAATTCCTGTAGTTTGCGATTGTACGATGATATAACAATATGACCGGGCCCTTAGTTACATGT